GTGGACAGGTGTCTTTTATACTGATAACAAGTTCAAACAGGTGCCATTAATACAGGTAACGAGTGGAGGACAGAGGAGCCTCTTAAAGAAGAAGTTACAGGTCTGTGAGAGCCAGAAATCTTGCTTGTTTGTAGGTGACCAAATACTTATTTTCCACCATAATTTGCAAATAAATTCATTAAAAATCCTACAATGTGATTTTCTGGGGAAAAAAATCTCAATTTGTCTGTCATAGTTGATGTGTACCTATGATGAAAATTACAGGCCTCTCTCATCTTTTTAAGTGGGAGAACTTGCACAATTGGTGGCTGACTAAATACTTTTTTCCCCCACTGTATATATATATATATCTTTTAAAGGAATGGTCTAAAATGAGTAAACTCCGCCCATCCCGGGCCGTGTAAAACGAACTCGCCCATTGAAAAGGCAGCTGTGTTCTCTCCACAGCTCCACTGAAATGTCTTCCATCCCCTCGGTCCTCACGGTGCGTGTTGTTGTTGTTGTTGTTGTTGTTGTTGTTGTTGTTTTGGCTGCTTTCCTCTTCACCATCATTGTTTTGGTCTCACATGCTGAGTGCTCATTGGCTATTGGCAGTAGCCCTTGCCAAATCGGGTCGTAGCACTGCTCATACTACAGGATGCACGACCCAAATTTCTGACGTCAGAAAATTATCGGGACATCCGACAGGGGTCTGGAGAACGGAACAGCCATTCTCGGTGCATCCTTGACTCAACATATTACCTCAACTACCTGGTACCCCTGCACATTGACTCAGTACTGGTACTCCTTGTATATGGCCTTGTTATTGTTATTTTATTGTGTTACTAATTTGTATTTTTTTTTTTTTTTTTTGTACTTTGTTGGGATTGGGTAGGAGGACAATGTTCCAGGATGACTTTACTATACATAAGATCGTATTAAGAGCTTTAACTCTATCAATGGTCAAGCGATATTGATTACTGGCAAACCAACGGAGGTGCCATGATATATCTACGGGAAAACTGTTAAGAAATACATTCATATCCTCTTGTTCTAAGACTGCATCCTCACCTCATTTGGACACACAGGTCAACCAGGGTTGATCAGAACAGGGGGAGATTGTCACCTGTGTGCCTGCCTGCCTGAGCTTGGGGCTTCAACAGTCCAACCACTCCGCTGATCTGTTGCAGCACTGGGGGTGGGGGTCCATCATAGATCACAACATCCATGTTCCAATCCACCCCACCTGATCCATCATCCGTGGCCCAGTCCGGAGGTGTGGACGTGGGCATGGAGGGGAGCCCCCCGCTCTCTCATGCTGGAGCTCTTTTGTGGCCTCATTACACCCACCACCCACTGGGCCAAGTGGGCCACCATACCGGAGCCACGCGCAGCAAGGCTGATGAAATATTCCCCACTAACAATAGGAGCACACAGACAATCACACACACAGAAAGACTTCTGTCAAGGGCATGAACAACGGCGTGCAGGAGACAGAGGTGAGCGCTGTGGCATATTGCTCGGGCTAATTTACCGGCAGGCAGGCAAAGTGCTGATTGGACACAGCTTGGCTGGTCTATCTGGGGCCAAGGCTGGGGCCCATTGGCGACACACACACACCACACACACCACACACACACACACACACACACACACACACACACACACACCACACACCTCCAAGGAGCTGAGGCAGCAGAAACATCTACCAACCTCACACACGCGCACGTGCAGGCACACACACACAAACGTTCTTTCTTTCATTCTCTCTCTCATCAAGGGAAGGCATGCAGGGATCAGGGGTCACCCTCAGGTGCCATCAGGGGAAGGCATGCAGGGGTCAGGGGTCACCCTCAGGTGCCATCAGGGGAAGGCATGCGGGGGTCAGGGGTCACCCTCAGGTGCCATCAGGGGAAGGCATGAAGGGGTCAGGGGTCAGGGGTCACCCTCAGGTGCCATCAGGGGAAGGCATGCAGGGTCAGGGGTCATCCTCAGGTGCCATCAGGGGAAGGCATGCAGGGGTCAGGGGTCACCCTCAGGTGCCATCAGGGGAAGGCATGCGGGGGTCAGGGGTCACCCTCATCCTCCTGCTTTAGTTTTCACTTTCTTTGTTTCCTCTTTCTTTGTTAGGCATCTGTCGACTCATTCCAAGCTGCGTCCCCCCTCCTCGACAAGGACATCCCAAAGTGCCAGATGGACTGCCTCCCCACTTACTCCCCCCTTCATAAATGTTAACGTTGTCACAGTTTGGGAAAACAAATTGTGTTTTTCTACAACTTTGCACAAACACATTCTGTTGGGCAGAGACGGTGGCTTTCGGTTCTGTCAAGTTCAAGATCCCTCCTCAGTGTCCTTGCCTGCCATCCGCCAACCGGCTGCCACTCATGTGCATAGACAATAACCTCAACTTGACACTCACTTAAAACATTTCGGTGACTGTTGTAGTTGAGAATGTTTGTTGGTTAAAAACGTAGTTTAAGTACCTCATAGGGTTAGCATCTCATAGGGTTAGCATCTCATATATATATATATATATATATATATATATATATATATATATATATATATATATATATATATATATATATACACATTCTAACCCCCTGCTGTGGTATTAACCTTACATAATATCTAAGGAAAAATAGAAATGAAACAAAGGGTAGAATTGATATAGTATGCTTAATTGACTATGGAATCAGCCCAGTCACATGTGGTCCATATAGTGAGCTGGCGGTCGGATGAATCGTTGTAACATCTTTACAACACTGTATATAGCCATAATATGACATTTGAAATGTCTCTTTTCCTTCTGAACTTTTGTGAGTGTAATATTTACTGTTAATTTTGTAGTGTTTATTTCACTTTTGTTTACTATCTATTTCACTTGCTTTGGCACATGTTAAACATATGTTTCCCATGACGATAAAGCCAGTTGAATTGAATTGAATTGAATTGAATTGGAATGAATTGAGAGAGCAGAGAGAGAGAGAGAGGAGAGAGAGAGAGAGGAGAGAGAGAGAGGAGAGAGAGAGAGAGAGAGATGGGAGATAGGATTGCTGAGAAGACGAGAATCGCCTCTGCCTAGAGCTTAGCGGAGTACTCTCTAGCTCTCTATCTACTCTTCTCTATCTCTCTCGCTCTCTGCTTTCTCTCCCTCTTCTCTTTCCTTCTCTTCTCTCTTCTCTATCTCCTCTCTCTCTCTCTCTCTCTCGCTCTCTCGCTCTCTCTCTCTCTCTCTCTCTCTCTCTCTCTCTCTCTCTCTCTCTTCTCTCTCCTCTCTCTCTCTCTCTCTTTTTCTCCCTCTCTTCTTTCTCTTTCAACATCTCTCTGCTCTCTCTCTCCTCTCCTTCTCGCCTTCTTTCCCTCTCCCCCCCCTCAGTTTCCAATCTCACCTCCCTCAACACCTCCCTCCTCAAGAGACCAGACAGGACAAGACAAGACAGACAGACAGACAGACAGAAGATCAGACAGACAGAACAGACCGACAGACAGACAGACAGAACAGACAGACAGACAGACAGACAGACAGACAGACAGACAGACAGACAGACAGACAGACAGACAGACAGACAGATAGATAGATAGATAGATAGATAGATAGATAGATAGATAGATAGATAGATAGATAGATAGATAGATAGATAGATAGATAGATAGATAGACATTGAATCAATAGATCTAATGCCGGGGTATTGAATTGAATCAATAGATCTAATGCCGGGGTATTGAATTGAATCAATAGATCTAATGCCGGGGTATTGAATTGAATCAATAGATCTAATGCCGGGGGATTGAATTGAATCAATATATCTAATGCCGGGGGATTGAATTGAATCAATATATCTATTGCCGGGGTATTGAATTAAATCAATAGATCTAATGCCGGGTGTGTTGGAGATAGGGAGCCAGCCCACCTTTGCCGCTGGAAGCAGAAAATGGCCTGCTGCAAGGCGTGTTCATCCAGAGACAGCCTACGGCCCTTACTCCAGGGGACTATCTCTACCACCCGCCGAGATGCTTCAGCAAATTGCTCTCATGAGCCAGGAGAAGAAAAAGATATATTCACAGGTTTGTCTTACATTCATGGTTAATGTCTTAATGGCAGCCCTCCTTTTCCACACTCCTCTTCCTTCCTTTGTGCAATTCCCAGGTGTCTGTCTGGGTGTTGTGAGCCTTCCGAGAGCAATTAAACCACTGTCTATTACAGGTTTACAAATATCCCCGGCACATCGGACAAACCGGTCCTCAGCGGTCACATCATTGATCTTGTTGAAGGATAAAGGTAGTTTTACCAGAAGGGATTCCATGTAACTCAAGGTGTAGCTGTGCAAAAATCCCTCTCATTAATGGAGAGTAATTAATAAAATAGATTTACAGTTGCATGTGTAATGTTTGACAGGATGACATTTATTGTCATGAATCTTGCCCTGCAGGCAGCTCTGCAGAGTGGTCACTAGCTGGCAGAGTCACAAAGTCATAAAATCTGATTTTAAACCTAACCCTAACCTTAAACCTAACCTTAACCACACTGCTAACCCTAATGCCTAACCCTGACCTTAGGATGCATAGTAAACATGACGCCCCAAGAATGGATATGCCGGGTCAAAATGACCAGATAATGTAATATCTGTGTTTTATTTATATGGGTCTAAAACATTATCCATTTTGTGGAATATCATTATTTTGTGTGATGATTTGGACCTTTCAATAATCATTTTAATGTTTGTAATGTTTTTAGTCACTCTTCAACAGTATTATTTCAATGATAACAATATTATTAAAATTCATAACGGCTGTTGAAAATATTAGCATATTTTTCTTACAATCAATCTTAAAATCAAAGTTTCACATTCAACCTTTTAGTGTGAATAACAAAATAAAACCACCTTAAACATATTTTATAATATTTCAAAACATTTACTTGAAAATCCAAAGTTCATCATCAATATAAACGACAACACTAACAATTGTGAATTTAGAAAACATAAACACTAAAATGAACAAAATGTGTGTGTCATTACTTATGCTGTTTTAGTCCATGGATTAGTTACAAACCACAAGCGTGTGACTGTGCTCTTTGCAGACGGGTGTGTTGCGATGAGAACACCAGCAGCTGACTTTTTTGTCATTGCGCTTGGGCAGAGCTGGCACCTCTTCCTCTTCTGGCCCTGGCTGCTCTTAGTGGTGGTGGCACGGCTCTCTTTCATCACCCCACATCTTTCCATTGCCTCAGTGTTGACCTTCGGTAGGTTGCAACAGCCTTCCGTGCGCCTCTGCATGCGTGGGATCACGAGCTCTTTGAGCAGCACCTTGGTGAACAGCGGTCGGGTGCTGTTCACACCAACCATGAAGTTGGGGTTCTGTGCCATAAATATGGTGCGGAGGTGGCAACAATATATATATATATATATATATATATATATATATATATATATATATATATATATATATAATATAACAATAATAAAATATGAGGGTGGCAACATCAAGCAGGTTGTATCATAGCACCATTGGCCACCTCCTTGTCTGGCGTTTGCATGAGTAATTACGCACCATCTGATCCATAATGTCCACTCCAGTTATAGTTTTGGATCATCTCTGGCTTCTTCTTTGCACTTGTTTCATCCACCGCTTCGTCGTCATGCAGGGTGCTCAGGAAGACAATAGCCTGTCACTGCTACAGTACATAACTCACCATGGCCAAGTTGCCAGTACAACCAAACTCGGAGCAATGCACCTTTCTGAACTTGGACGGCTTCATAATCGGTGGTACGTCCGGCATGTTTTGGCGAAGAGTCCCCACAATTGTCAAGTTATTTTCCAAGAGTTACTCTGTCAAAGGTACACCAGTAAAGAAGTTGTCCATTGTGATGTTGCGACCTGTGATTCAAAACAAACAAAGGGCCAAATGGTCAATTTACTTTATTTACAAAATTAAACATTTGGAATTTCTATTTTTGTATCAATACAACGTCTCACAATAATGATTAAAATATCAATCTAAAATACACACTATAAAATATAAAACAAGGCTGAGCGAGGTATTGCAATAATACTTAGAGAGCATACTTCCCGTGTGTCTCATTCTACTGCACAACTTTCGGACAACATTCTCTCCAAGGTTCTTCTGAACCTCCTCTCCTGGCTGTCTGCTTGTGTAGACAATGCCATCGATGGCCTAGTCGACTCTTCCGTCACGCACCTATAATACCTTTATGTCATATTTGGCAGGCTTGCTGGGCATGCAGTGTGTGAACCTTCTTCTGGAACGGCACAAGCTGCTCATCCACTGTGACGCAGTCGCTGGGGATGAACCTTCCTCTACAGTTTGCAAGGAAAAGGTCCCACACATACCGGAAGGCTGCCAGGTGGTCCGTTTGCCTCTCTGAACACTCTGGTCGTCTTTTTCTTTTTTAAAACTTTTATTTAACTAGGCAAGTCAGCTAAGAACAAATTCTTATTTATAATGGCGGCCTACACCGGCCAAACCCGGACCCGTGACTCCCAATCACGGCCGGTTGTGATACAGCTTGGAATCAAACCAGGGGGTCTGTAATGACGCCTCAAGCACTGAGATGCAGTGCCTTAGACCGCTGAGCCCATATCTTGTCATCAAGCCTCAGGTAGCGACGGATATCCTAATATCCTCCGACCGACATGGTGGCCTTATACATTGGATTCTGCAGTGGATACAAAAATAGCTCCCGTGTGGAGACCTCCCAGCTTTTCTCCAAGCCGGCGAGGAGGGTTAAACCAATAAAGGCCTTTAGTTCCTCTTTGTTGACCCCTCTCCACTCTTTCCCCTTTGCTGTCACTGTTCTCCGTCCTTCTAAATTTGTACACTTTAGGACCTCCTCAATGATGTTGTCACTAATGAACAGCTCCCAGGCATCTTTTGGTGACACAACTGTTGACCGTTTTACTCAGTCTATTTGACTGGTTTTCTTCCCCATCTGTATTCTCATCTAGGACAGCTGGACTACCAGGTGCATCCACAACTCCAACTTGACCCACAGGCACATGGTCTGTGTCATCTGAATTGGACACCTCAGATTTAGAGTCAGAGGCACCAATGGCTTCTTCATCCAGCATCTGTAAAATCACTTTGGTTGTATATCTGACAACATTCTTATGAGCCATTTACAACACTGTGAATATAGAAACACAAAAAGGCAGACAATATATGCACTTCAATCAATTGAAAAGTAAGTACAACTCTTAAAACATATTGTGGTTTTCCCAATACTCCAATTATTTTAGCATTAGTGTGGCTAAGTTTAAAATGGTGATTAATGAACATTAAAAACAAGATATTTAATAAATACTTTATTCATTACATTAATTGTATTGTTGTAGCAATAAGAAAGGTCAGTTTGACGAGTGCACGGCAGTGAACTCCATAGGAAATACATACGGGTCATATTTGACCCACATGTGAAAACTTGGGGTAGTGATGCAAAAACATGTTTTACTTAAAAAATAAGAAATTAAAAAAAACAAAACTATGATGTTGGAACATTACAGACACATTATTTAAGGAATTCATGGAATATTAGATGATGACATTTTTGAGGGACAGCAAAAAAAATACATTAGGCCAGGTCATTTTGACCCGGCATATGCATCGTAGGGTTAACACCAAAAAGCTAATTTTTTATTTTCCGTGAATTTTTACGAAATAGACCATTTTGATTTTGCAGCTGGGCCATCTAACAAAAATCACTCAGTTCTGCCTCCAGGGCAAGATTCATGACAATAAACGTGCTAACGGTTGTCTAGTCTTGTGCAGCATTTCCTGTGTCCATTGCCTGAGGTAGTCGACGCTCACCTTGCAGGACGCCTCGGGTAGGGCTGTTATTGTGACTGTATTACTGCCACACTGGCATTCACGAGTCGCAGTCAAAGTCCACGTGACCTTTTAGTCATGGTAATTAGGCTTCTCCTGATGCTGCTGATGGTCATTAGTAGCCTACCAAACGTGCTAACTGCCTGGTACTCAGCACTCTATTGTCCCTCTAATCACTCTGACATCAATGCAAATGTCATCGAAAATGTAATCCAACACTTCATCAGAGCCCATGAGCTCATGTTGTGCATCAATTCTATAGGCTATGCAATTGCATGAAAGAACAGAGTTTTGATGGCCTCTTTTAAAAAGAGGAGGATCCATCAGCTTTCTATAGGCTAGGCCTACTATATTTATTTCTCAACTTTCCTAATATGTACTCTTCCGAGTCGGCGAACGCTTCGGCGCGTTCAAATCGCGGGCCGGCTTTAGGACCGCGCAGCATCCAAACCAAGTGACGCAGAGGGCTGCCGTCGATTTCATGCAGAAATGGAGACCCGAAGCTACGTTTTGAGTGTTTGTTTCATGTAAATACACCAACTAAAACCAAAGTTATGATAATTTCAATTCCATGAAAAAAGTGCGTCAAAATATGCGCTCTTTTATGAGCGCTTTGCATTTATTATAATAACTTTGTCGTCTTTTGTGATAAAAAGGAACGGAAAAAAACGTGTGCTTGTGCTAACCCGGTTCTTCAGGATGCACACGAGTATATAAACATTCATTCCCATGACAACTAGCCATTGCGAAAGAACGAACGAGAGGAATTAGTTCAGTTCATGAGTAGTTTTGGAGAGTTTTTCACGAGTTAGTATTTCAATTGTTAGTATTTCAAGAGTTTTATTGTCAGCAGTATCGTTTTTGTGAAGCAATATGAGGCGCAGACAGGGGTTCCACTTCAAAAAAGCACCAGCCATGTTCCTGTGGCCATTGCCAATGTTGCAGAGGCCAAAGACAAAGCCACAGCAGGCCGCAGGGTTTGTCAACGCTGTAAACAAGTTGACAAGAAGAGGTTTGTCACACCATGGAAGTGCAAGGCCTGTGATGTGGCTCTCTGTGTCATTGTGGACAGGAACTGTTTTGAAGAGTGGCACAAATAGGGTAAAGGCCAGTGGCTATACCTACTTTTTTTGTAAATAGTTGTGTATTGCTTGTATATATCTCAAGAATACTTTTATATGTTCATATTTGCACTTTGTGGTTCAATTTGAAGCTTTTTTTTTCATTTTGGACAGAAACTGTTTTGAGGAGTGGCACAAAAAGGTTTAGGGTTAGAATAGAAGAAAAACGCCAGTGGTTATACCTACTTTTTATTGTAAATAGTTATTTATTGCTTGTATATATCACCAAAATACTTTTATATGTTCATATTTGCACCTTGTGGTTCAATTTGAAGCTTTTTAAATGCTTGGTTCACCATGTTTGAGGGTTTTACAATAAAAAAAACCATATTTTTTCTAAACGGACTTTGTGTTTTTCTGTGTGTGTTTGGGTCCAGTGTGTTGAAATAGTATGTCAAAGTGAAAAACTTACTAACAGATCATATAGGTGAGGTTGTGCTGAAAAAAAAGATACCCAACATTGGTCTGGTAAACATTTCTTTATGTAGTATATCAGGGCAAAATTGAAGGTACCCAAAAACGGCCAAAAAAGCTCCAGACTCCGAAGAGTTAAGCACATTGCTTGTCTTTACAACAGGAGTATAGCCTACCTGGCTGGCATGAAAATGAACCACGGGAAAAGTGTCCTCCATTCACTATTTAAGTGCATAGATGACATTTTTTCCCCCCCTGTCCTTGTTTCGAGACAGGTGCATGATAATGGTCCATTCTAAATCAAAACAAATTTCACAGATACTATTTAGTGTATGTAAAGACAAGATTAAATCAAGAATAGTCTGATGGGTGACAATATTAGCCTTTCACTTGTGAATTATATATTATCACTTGTGAATGATGACAGCGCCTACATTTTTTTGACTACTTTTTCAAATCATAGTCGCACACCTCATGTCGCCTAGCCCATATGCCTATATGTTTTGATAAGGTTTGTAGCACAATTAAAGTGGGCAAATAACTCCTTAAAATTAAGTACATTAATACACTTTACAACGGGTGTAGAGCCTAACTGGCATACATACGCAGCGCGTGAGTTTCAAATTTGGGGAAGATCATTTTCACCATAGAAATGCACCTTTATAATAAAAGCATTACCTTAATAATCACTAATTGATTGCATTCTGGAACATTTGTGCTTATAGCTTACTGCTGTGTGTGCATTGCTGTGCTTATAATGTGAAGAAATAGACTAGTAGTTTATTAACACTTTAAGCTAAACGTTCTGATCTGTTGCGTCAGCCTCATTGCATTAAAAACATTTTTTTTAACTTAGTGGGTGTATTTATTAGGGATTTATCGCATTCCACAACTGTCCCAAACTATGTTTGGAGTATTTATTTCTCTCACAGAATAGAATAGGTCAACTTTTGTACTACGGGGGATAGTAGATTGACATAGGCTAGTGCTTTTCCTGTTCGTTAGGCCTACTCATATTGTTGGCTGACGAAAAGTAAATACGGACAGTTCTTCCAACATCTTCTATATGCGCCTCGGAATTCGATAAGGATGCAAACAGTTGCGTCCCCGATGTGTCTGTCTTCACTTGTAGCCTGTGAGAAGGACCCAATCACTTGACAGGGATTGGCTAATAAGGATTGAAATATCTGAGAGAGCCATGTGAGTGAGAGGTGCATCGGAGCACCCAGCCGGGAGAAGGGAATTATAATTATTATATTCAGGGCACAACGGCCACTGGCCGCAAAAGGCATGGATTTTTTAAGGGGGCATTACAGCCACACAAAGGGGAAGCCGCCGAGAAATTCGAGGCATTATCAAGTGCATGTGAAATTGTGAATAAGAGACTGATGAAGTGGGCTT